AGCAGGAATTTTAGAAATATTTCATTGTATTGCCCTTTTATTGCCCACAGCTGAGACTCTGACACCATTCTGCTTCACACCGAGGTCCTTGGGTTTGTTTTCTTTTCTTTCTTTTCTTTCGGAAATGTTAGGTTCATAGAAATTACATTTTAGTGATGTTTTCATTTATTTTGTTCTGAGAACGGACCGGTGTCCGTTCCCACAAAAGTCCTTGGCAAAATGAGCGTTGCTTTCAATGAAAGCCAGACCGAACTGGATCAACTGGTCAATCTTTAGATTTGATTTCTGCTTTGTGTGAAAACTAATCTTTCTGTTCACACAGAAATGCACCTAAATAAAAAGATCTACGGCTATCTCTTCACTGACTGAAAAATAGGAAAAAAACAAAAAACTCCCTCAAAAATAATGCAAATTCAATCTAATGAAAGCTCATATTCCATAATTGTGTATATACCAAGCTTTTTGTTAACAGAATGAAGTAAATGAAAACTACAATTCTTTTATTGAGGTGTACATAGCAGTGATCACACTAGACCAAATTCCTAGAACAGCAGAAGAGTCGAAACTCCCAGAGCACATGCAAGACCAAAGTTCAAGCCTACCTGCAGGGATTCAAACCCAAATACCTCACAGCTTAGGCAGAGACGAGGCACTGCTAGCTACTGTTCTGGGAATAAGGTGTTTCATTTGTTCTTGTTGATGTCTTTTCACTGTATAGAGAGAATTAAGCACGAACCAGAGCAGAGATTAAAAATCCTCTAAGGAAGGTGGTCTACGCATCAAGCTAATGACTTATCCTTATTGTTTTGTTCTTCAGGTCAAGAACTGCTTAAGTGCCAAACTGCTCCCTGCTTAATTCTGAGCAAGCCTGTGAACCTAGATCTGCAGCAAAAATCAAGATGTGTAAGAATTACTCTCCAGTTTGCTTTTTAAGCATGATTTTGAATAGTGAAATCTATTGGTCTGTGTTGTTTTTTTCTTTTTTTTGGCAAGGAAAGAAGAGTGAATGAATAATATGCCACCATATAAAAGGGGAGCTTCTCTGGCAATTTTATAAATCATACTGATTTCCTTAGCTTTTTAAACAAGTAGCTAAAATGAAACATTTTGTTTTGAAATTTACTTTTATTTGTTTGTTTGTTCCTTACTTCAGGAAGAAAAAATTGTTCTGCTCATAACATCTTCTTTTTCATATCATTTATATCTGCTTTTGGTCCAGTTCTCAAATCCCCACATTGTTCGCACATCCTTACCTTGTTTTCCATAAACTATGAAGTTTAAGATACAGTTTGCGCTGACTGAGCCTTTGCACAGAGTTAAATTTCACATACACTCAAAATAAAAATGTAAATTATGTAAAAACCCATTTTCAGTCAGCCCAAGAGGAAAAAAAAAAAAAAGGAAGGTATAAAAATCGTCAAGAAATAATAATATTAACAATAATATTGAAAATCATCCTAGGAGATAGCAATCTGGTTCTAGAGAAAGTAACGTCTGTGACGTTATTAGCTTTAAATATTCATTTCCCAAATGTTTTTATGAGCAAAAGTAAATATATGAAACTGTAGCTGTTGTGGAGATACAGATATATGGATATATAAACTGAATGTATAAATATTTAGACACTTTAGACAGCTTTAAAGTCTGACTTGTCTGTGATATTCAGAATATGCCATCTTCATCTGTAAAACAATAATAATCCCTGGAAACATATAAGATTCTACAATGAGCTATGAATGTTTGCTGAAGGGACATGAATTTTAAAAAAAACCTCATGGATAAGGTGGCCACTAGCCTCATTCCCAGAACAATCTCAGGCATTAATGACCAGCCAAAAGCAAACTCTCTAATATCTGGTTATGTGCTGAAGTCAGGATGCTGTTTATGATTTATTTTCTGCCAAGTATGCATTTCTCGCCTCTCTCTGACATATTTCATATTTTCTGTAACTTTGACTACAGAAATTCCCTGCTGCAGTTTTGTTTATGTGCTTGTACATCAGAGAATGATCATGCTAAGAAATCGTTAACGGTCAGCTATGAAGAGAAACAGCGCTGACCATTCAGGATCTGCAGACACGTGCAAAGCAGCGTACCGTGGAAGCGGAGAAGGGAACCTGGTACCGGCCGTTATTGAGGTCTGCGTTTCCTGCAAAGAGATTAAAATGTTACCTTTGCATTTATTTTGATCTGCTTCAGAAAGCTGCAGAGACCAGCATTTACAATAACTGAGGAAAAATATTTGTAAGAAATTTCTGCTAGCTTTATGATATGCACGGTTTGCCACTGGGACATAAATTATACACTTACCTCTTTCAAGTTGCTATTTTTACTTTAGTCTCTCCTCTCTTTAGATCAATGTCCTTTTCCTGTGTCTGCAATTGCAAGCTTCGGGTTGTTATCACAGTTCACAAATCCCCAGGAAAATATAAGAAAGAGCAGTATGGGAGCTGGGGAGCATCCAAATGGCACTTTTTTCTTTTCTAGTACCCAGTGAATAATGCAGGATATAGGTCAAATGTAAGAAAATGAAAGTGGTAGTACTTTCCTAGGTCACCGTGGTCAGACATCATCAAAATGGGAACTATGTCTAATGGGGAAATTCAGTGCTAGGTTATGTGGTAATATCAGTTGTGTCAGCAGCACACCAAGCAGAAGATATTGCTGCTCGTTTGAGAGCCTTTACTAGTTTTTGCCGGATGGCGCAAAATGGGCTCCCTGCCTGCAGTTGGCCGTGATGCAGAGCTGGGTTATTAGTCCTTTCTGCCGCCTTCCGCTCTTCTCTCAGCTACTCCCTGCTCTGAAGAATGAGAAGGCACTCTCCTCCCTTCTCCAAACTTCAGACTGAGTTTTTGCATTCCAAACTGGATCTAAGCAGGTTAGGCGTATTTTGAATTTTAAATTTGAGTACTCCTAAAACCAGTCAGAACCAGGGCAGAACTCCGATCCTGCCTAAAATAACTCCGCCAGGAGGATCCAGCTACATATGTCAGTCACGTATGACAGTGCTGTACAGGTTATCTGCCTGTCTTCCAGCATGCAAGTTTTGATGTCATCTCTCTCCTAACTAAAAAGAAAAAAACAAAAACCCACACCCCATTCATCAGAACCGTAGTTCTGAACTGAATTATCATTAAAAACTACTGAAGTGAAAATCTTTGTTTTCTTTGTTTTGATCCTGCTGTTTGTAAGTGTGGGGAAATCTGGCTTACACCTCATGAGGCAAGAGACTTGACTTTCAATCCATCCCAAACACGAACACTCTCATGATTTGCCAGTACCTGTACAAACTTTATACCTATCTATTTTTTTATTACAGATTATGAACTTGATTATTGGATAATGTTCTACTGTAGCCAAACATAGTATAACAGAATTACATCACCTCTTCTATTGTATTCATTGACCTACTTTAAGAATTTATAGAATAAATAGAATGAGAGGATATATTTTTTATTGTCTGAGCTTCTGAAACCTTTTTTCTGCAGGAATAAATTGTAAATTGTCAAGGACAAAAAACAAATACACATTCCAACTATTTTAATTTATATGAGGTAAAATTAATATTAAAAGTTTGAACTGCTTTTGCAAGTTCTGTGATTTCAATCAGGAATTCTGAAAAAACTTCATGCTTTTAAATAGTTTAGGGAAGGAAAGTAAAAGAGACAATGACATAATTAAACAGAAAACAGGATAGCCAAATTTAAAGCAATTTACCTCTAAAAACAAGTACCCTACAGAAGGATTACCCAAGTGTTATTCCCTTTCTTGTGATATTTTAAATAACAGATATCATAGAAAGGAAGAAAAAAAGTTATTTAAAATGGAAACAGGGAGAAACTAAAATTATGCAGATTTTCCACAAAGTAGTTATGAAAATATTTCAGCAACCAATCTGGCAAAAAGAATTGTTATGTGTGATGCCAGGTATCATGCTAAGTAAGCAAAGCCATATTTGAAATTAATAGTTTTGTGAACAACTTGTCCATGACAAGCTTATTGCACCTTGCCTCTTGTGATTTTTCATGAGGAGTAGTCCTGGCTTGCTCTAGTATTTTTTACAGATGGCCACCAGACAGCTGTATATATTATGTCATGTGCCTAAAAAGTAGGAAATTATAATAGAAAAGTTGATAAAAATAACAGCAAAGAAATCAAACACACTGAAAGGCTCTAAGTGGCTCATCCTTCCCAAAGAGACTTTTGCACTGAAAATTGAGAAGAGAAGAGAAGCCACCAATTTAAACACACTGTTATTAAATGTTCTTCAAGCTATTTCAAATAATAAAAATGTTCTAAGTAAGGAATCTAAAATCTATAATGAAGGTGGGCATTTATAAAATATATATTTATATGTAAACAAATTCAAAATTCAGTAATATGTTTCAGCCATTTTCCTGGCGTTTTGGAGTACCAGTATCCCATGAGATATATTCTTTCCTTGATCCTGTATTAGCTCTAATATACATGTTTCATTATATATGTCTACTTTTCCTGTCAATAAATTTTTGAGGGTTTTATCTATTTTCCTGACTTTCCAGATGGTCACAAGTTCTGTAAGATCAATATTTCCACTTAGGCTGCCAGAGAAATCCTGGCCTTTGTTCCTTACACGCATGTGGATCAGCTCTGCAGTAAGTGAAAATGAACTTCACACATCCATCCTACTTACTGTTCAGGCCCTGTGAATTCTCAGTAATGCTGATTAATTTTGCTGTACATTTGGCTTGCTTGTTCATGCGCATAGTTATAGAGTGCGTTTACAGTAGGTCCAACATGCTCTGCATATAGCTGACCTTCTGTGACTATTTCACACAAATGGCTTATATATGTGTGCAATACATCCGAAGTACCTGGGATATAACAGATTGATTGAAAAACGGCAGGTCAGCTGCTCAGCATGTAGATTGGTAGGTACAATGCATCATGGATGTATCTAAATCTACCAGAAACCTCTCTTCCGTTGTTTTGTAAAGGGAGCTCTTTCCTGGTAATCCTATGTCCTCTCTGCCTTGAGTTTCTATGGGGGCATAGACAGGACCAGACTGAACAAAAATTATTGCAGAGAGTGCATTTATGATGTAATCTTCTGAGAGACATTACAGTCCTTTATAACTTTCCTTAGCATCCATCTACAATCTGGAGCAAATTTTAGTTCACAAGAAAAAAAGGGAAATGTTCCGATTAGGGTCTGAGCTGCAGAGAAAAAGCTGGACGTCATACAGGTGTGTGTGCACCCATGGAAGGTGAGCGGTGACAGGAAGGTGAATCCTGTAGAAAGCAGGGAACAGAATTAGATCGCATGAGGCTGTTAAAACTATAATTCTACTTAAAATGCAGTCTCATAGCGATCTTACTCAAGCTTCCTTTAGTGTCGCTTCTTGATTGAGTAACTACAGTCATTAGTGTTGCAATATGGTGCTCAGACTGGGAATTTCAAAAAGCCTAAAAGAATTAGAGGCCTTTGAACTAACTTAGTTCCCTCCGGCTCCACTGAAAACCTCAGACTTAATCTTTGTTTTACTTCGCTCTTTAATCTTGTCTATACTGTTTTTCCTCTTACTTGTGGGCATCAAAGGGATTCCCTCCCTCTTCTCTGGAAAAGTGCCAAAATCCAGTCCCTAATGGAATAGAAATTGTTCCGCAACTCACCTCTTGGGAACCCCTGCTCATGTGGAGCACTGTGTGCACTTAAGTGACAGCTGTCATCCACCATCATTTGCATTGGAGAAATCCTGATATTACGTGCAAACACTTGACTGTGAAAGCTTATCAAGTACTTAGCCTGGAATCCTTCTTTTGCTCTGCCAGAGCTGATGTGTGCTGCTTATGTCTAACAACTATATTACTGTGGTTATTGAGCAAAACAGCTGCAGAAATGAATGTTCATTTATCTTCCATTGGTTTTCTAGAGATCAGGTGAGGCTAAATTACAATGTCTGTAGCTTCTATCTTAGTGGAAAATGTAGCAGAATTTAAATTTTTTTTTTTTAATTTGAGTTTTATCATCACAGAAAAGTAGTTCAAAGATGGAAACTGTGATACAGAGTGCAATATTGTCCACTAGCAGAGTAAAGAGCCATTTTGTGCTGCTAAGTTTAATTAAATTTTCAAGGACAAGACTAAATATGTTAGACTGAGAGTCTGGGTTTACAGGCACTTGCTGCAGAAAGTAGGAGAAGGGAGGAGGGGTTCACAAATCACTCTCTGACTCATATTTTTCTGAGTGTTTTATGGAGAAACAGAGGCCCTTTATGGATTCTCCCAGTATCCAGTCACCATCTGAACCAGTTCAGTTTGTCTTGTAGTGGCTTGAGGCTGTTCAGCTGGCAGTTTACTTTATAGTGGGTCTAAAAGGGATTATCATGCATTTACCTCCCAGTGTGAGACCCTCAAGATCTGCTCTCTTAATCTACCTGACCTTGCTGAACCCTCTGCTACTGGCATCCAATCTGGTAATGCCATACTTGTGTCATATTTAGCCTCTAGGTACCATCACAATATTGATTAATAAAGCATACTTCCTGAGCAGAGGAATTAGCAAAGCCTGGTTTCCTGTGTCATACAGCTGGATGTCCTGGTGCCAGAGGAAGTTTACGGCACTACTGAGCAGCACTGCTGGTGAGGCAGGATCTCCACTAGAAATCTCAGAGGGGTGGACTCTCTACTCTCCAGGAAGGAGTAAGTTTGCTCTGCAGTCTTGCGTGGGGGACCATTAAAAATCCTTTTTCCATTGCTTGACCTTTGTTTTTATGAAAACTCTAGGAATCAGACCTCCATTCTGTGCGGAAATTGACCAAGAACTGTAAAATTAATAAAGGGAAATGGGAACACTGATAAACTGGCATATAGGTGCACGTGCACACATATGCAGAATAGCATTGCAAAAAGAAACCGCAGTAAGAAAGAGGTTAAAATTAAAAGTTTGTTTGTGGGTGGGGGAAGGAGATACTTACTGACTCTTCCTGCTCCTCCATCTACTGCCCCCTCACCATCTCCTACACCTACTTGTGCTTTCTAAAGGTCAGGCTGAATCTCAACATATGCTTTTAATTCCAGGGCCCAAAGCAGCATTTCCCAAACTAGGAAATCTGGAAGCAAGCCTAGAAGTGCAAATGGAAGCA